CATGTTTTGTTAACTTGCCCCAGCTCAATGGTTTCAGGTATGTGGTTGGATAGCAGTCTTTCCTGTTTGCTGTAGGATGAGGCCAAAAGCAACATGTTTTGCATGTGCAGGTTTTACTGAGGAAACAGGGATGTTCAGATGTTACAAGATTATTCTATGGATGGACAAAGGTAAATACCTTGAGCCAAAATTGATTTTTGTCAATAAGGAAACAAAAAGGCGAGCCACAGAATGGGAGGAAATATTTGCAATACAAATATTTGACAAGGGGATGTTATCCAGAATACGTAAAGAATGCTAAAAATAAGATAAGCAAACGAACAGAATATGGGCAAAAGTTTTGAATAAACACTTAACAAAAGAAGATATATGAATGGTTAGCCAAAAGGCATGAAAAGATGCTCACGATCATTAGTTATCAGGAAACACAAATTCAAACCATGAGAATTTGCCATTACATATCCTGTAAGATAACTAAAATTGTAAAGACTGCAAACACCAATTGTTGGCAGGCATGTGGAACTACTAGAATTCTCGTGCACTGCTGGTGGGAATGTAATATTGCACAACCACTTTGAAAAATTATTTGGCAGTTCCTTAAAAGTTAAAAATACATCTATCATATGACCAGTCATTTCACTCCTACGTATTTACTCAAGAGAAATGAAGACATATGTCTCCTCTAAGATTTTTACATGAATTTTCATAGCAGTTTTATTTGTAATAGGTCTAAACTGGAAATAACCAAAATGTGCATCAAGTGAATGCATAAATGAAATGTAATATATGCATTGCATAGAATGGATTCTGGTCAGCGACTAAAAGGAACAACTTCTAATACATGCTACAAAGTGGATGAATCTCAAAACAGTGTGGTTATTGAAAGAAGCAGGACATAACACATACTGTATAATCCCATTTACATAAAATGAAAACTAATCTACAGCGACAAAGAGCAGGCCAGTGGTGGCCTGGAGGTGGGGGTGAAGGAAGGGATGGACTGCAAAAAGGCATGAGGCATTTTTAGGAAAATGTGGAAATATTCGGTAGCTGGATTGTGGTGGCATTCTAATGGATATGTACAGTTGTCAAAATACTTTCAATGGTGTGCTTTGAATGAATGCAATCTGTTGTAAATAAACTATTCCTCAATAATGTTGATAAGGAAAAAAGATGCATATTTTAGACCATAGAAAAATCACTAATAAAAATAAGAGTAGCATAGTTAGAAAGCTAACAGTGGAATACTAAAAATTATTCAATTAATCAAAAGAAGACAAGAGCAGTGGGAAAAGGGAACAAAGAACATATGGGACACTTAGGGGAAAAATTGCAAATGCAATCATGTTGATAATTGCATTAGGTGTAATGGTTTAAACACTCCTATTTGTAGATTATCAGATGTAAGTCAAGACTGAACTGGATGCTTCCTACAAGAAACTCACTTAAAATTTAAAGACAAATAGGTTAAAAGAATGAGAATAAAAAATTTATATCTACAAACAATAACCACAAGAGAGCTGGAGTGGATATATTAGTATTAGATAATGTAACTTCTGAAAAAGGAAAATTACCAAAGATAAAGGGGAACACCTCATGATGTTAAGGCAATCTATTCATCAAGAAGACATAACAATCCAAATTTACATGGACTCAACAAAATAGCCTCAAAATACATGAAGCAGAGATGGAAAGTACTGAAAGGAGAAATTAGCAAATCTAAAATTATAGTGGCAGGCATCAATCCTTCTCTCCGAGTAACTGATATAATAAACAGACAAAACTAGTAATGAGACAAAAGATATGAACAACATTACTAATGAACTTGACCTGAATGACACTTATTGAACACTCCACCCAACAACAGGAGAATACACATTCTTTTCAAGTGTACATAGAACATTTATCAAGACAGACCATGTAAATTTAAAAGAATTGAAATCATACAAAGTATGTTCTCTGAGTAGAATGAAATTAAATTAGAAATTAATAACAGAAAAATATCTGGAATAATCCCCAAATATCAGGAAACTAAACAACACACCTAATTCTTAGGTTAAAGAAGAAATCACAAGAGAAATTAGAAAATATTTTGAACAAAATAATGAAATATAACATATCAAAATTTGTGTATACAGCTAAGGCAGTGCTCAGAGGAAAATGTATACTTTAAATGCTTACATTAGAAAAGAAGAAAGGTCCAAAGCCAATGGCATAAATTTCTATTTTAAGAACCTAGCAAGAGACGAACAAATCAAACAATTAAATTAAACAAATAAAGAGAAAGAATAATGAGAGCAGAAATCAATAGAATAAAAAGTGTCCAAAAAATAGAGAAAAAATAATTAAGCCAAAAACGATTTTTTTCTTTCAAAAGATAGATGAAATTGATAGACCTTTAGTTAGATTGGTCAAGGAAAAAAGAGACACAAATTACCAGTACCTGGAATAAAAAAGAGGACATCACTACAGATCCTACAGACTTTGAAAGAATAAAATTAAATATCATTATTATTATGTTACTGATGCAGTATCAGTATAATGCCGACACATTTGACAGCATATGTGACATACGCACATTTCTTGAAAGATATGTACTACCAAAAGTGACTCAAAAAAGAAATAGAAAATTTGAATAGCTTTATTGGACATTACTGGTGAAATCTACCAAATATTTAAGAAAAGAAAACACCCAAATTTTATACAAACTCTTTCAGAAAATAAGGGAGAAGTGTAAACTTTCCAACTAATTTTTGAAGCATTACCCAGACACCAAAAACCAGACAAAGCCATTGTGAGACCACTTTTTCCTATGGACAAAATGTTAGTACATCACATACTGTCAAATATAAAAAGGGTAATATACAATGACCAAGTGGGGTTTATCCCGGGAATGTTAGGTTGGTTTAACATTTGAAATCAATCTATATAATTCACCATATTAACATGAAGCAGACAAGTCACATAATCACCTCAATGGATGACACTCAGTTGATGGAGAACAATCAATGAATCAACACATCTAACTGTTGTCACCATGATCAATCTCCAGCATCTGGGCCTTCCGTTGAGACCAATGAGGCCATACGTCATGGCACTTCCCTGGATCCTTCCAATAAGTTTGAGATGCTTAGAGGAAAGTACCCTCCCTGTGTGTTGACCACCCTTGACTTTAGTGCCTGGTCCTAGGGCTTCCTCTGTGTCCTGTAGTTTGGCTGAGTTTAGAAAGATTTCAGTAAAGCTTTTTATTCCTAGAAGTTGTTACAGACACTAACTCATTTTAAAAGAGACTTTATAAACAAGGCTAATAGGAAGGTGTTCAAAAGAAGAGAGCGGGAGGGGAAGCTGTACCCTCCACTATGGAATTTTGAAAGATGGCAGAGAAGAAAACCAGAACTTGATACAGAACCTCTTAATCTCAAGTTCATGCACCCAACGTGCAGCAACCCAAACCCTGAGACATCAGTGCTTGGAGAAGGAGAAAGATTTATTCGAATTGGCCAAAATGAGAAGGTAGTAGCCTGAGTTTGCTCAAATCCGCCTTAACCAGAGCAAAAAGCATGGGGGTTTTATAGAGCTAAGGGGCTCAGCAGGACGAGCTTCGAGCTTCGGAGAAACAAAGGGGCCACTCCTGATGAGCCCCTGGGTGATCTGCAACACTGCTGAGGGCCAGCCATCCGGTGATCACAACCTCCCCCAAGGCATTCTTTCTTCTGCAACACAAACTCACAAACCCTCCAGACCTGAGTCAGCCCTCAAGTTAAACAATAAAACAGCAAATTGACAAGATTCATCCGTGTCCATGTTGGGAACAAGGTCAAAAGGCAATCACCTTCTTATTGAATATCCACAGTCACCCTCAGGTACCTGGCTTCAAATTGAGACAGAGGCATGCAGACGGAGCAAGGCCAACAGACACTGCCATGCCCTGCACAGTAGTCATGCCCACAGATGGCCGAGAAATGAGGGAAAACAGTGACTCATGATTTTGAAGGAAGAAATGGTTCCTAATCTGTATTCCTTTCCGAATGGTGCTGTAACTAATTGCCAAAAACTTGGTGGCTTAATACAAGGCAGATTTATTACCTTACATTTCTAGAGGTCAGAAATCTGAAATGGGTCTCACTGATCGATCAAAAATCAAGTTGTCGGGAGGGCTACGTTCCTTCTGGAGGCTCAGGGGAGGATCCGGTCCCTTGCCTTTTCTAGCTGCCGGAGGCTGCCTCACTACTTGGCTCTTGGCTGCTTGCTGCATCTTCAAAGCCAGCAATGGCCGCTTGAGTCTTTCTGTACTGCGTCACCCTGGCTGCTTCCTGGGCCTGTCTCTGTCTTCCTCTCCTCCTCCCTCTCACTTAGAAGGGCCCTTGTGATTACATTGGGCCCAGCTGGGCAATCCGGGATACCCTCCCCATGTCAAGATCCTTAACTAAATCACGTCTGCAAGATCCCTTTTGCCAGGTGGGGTAATATACTCTGAGGTTCCCGGGATGAGGACCTGGACATCGTTGGGGGGCCATTATTCTGGCTAGCACACAGTACGTTTCAGGATTTTTGATGGCAGTGGAATTTAAAAAATTAGAAATACAAGAGACATGTGAAACTGTTTTTGCGTGAAGGCAAGAAGAAAATAGTTTGGAATATGATCCAAACTAGAGATTAAAATAGAGAGAGAAGTAAGCCGAGTGCTCCATTTCCGTGGGGTCAGGGGTGTGAAGACAGATGCCACCGTGAGCAATGAGGCCTGTGAGGGACTGGCTGAAAAGCAAACTTGGAGGGAAGGTGGAGGAGGGGCCTTCCTAGGGGAGGATGGTGCCGTGGAGCATCATGGTGCGGGGTGAGGGTTCTGAAGGGCATGTGGCGGCTTTAGGAGCCACTGAGGGAGGACCAGGTTAACCCCTGCATTTACTCAGTCACCGGCCTGTGTTTTCGTTCCCCCGTGCTCCCTCTCACGTGGGTTGGGGTGCTGCTGGGTCCCTCACACATCTCTGCCTGTCTCACAGGTATGCCGGGGTCCTCCTGGACGAGGATGTCTTCCACGGGAAGGAGCTGGTGGACAGTCGCCCGCTGCAGGCGCTGGTGGCGGGGCTGAAGGCCTATAGTACCTGGGAGAACATCAGATGCCTGCAGGACTGCCGTGAGTGCACCGGAGGCATGGTGAGCCCCCCGCGGCCCCAAGGGGTGCCAGACCCGCAGGGTCCCTGTGTCATAGCTCGCGTTGGGGGAGCACCATGTGCCAGTGCGTGGAGCACCGGCTTTGGAGCCAGGCGGAAACCCCGACGGCCCCCATGACCCTGGGTGCATTATTTAGTCTTGTCCTGTATGCATGTCCACCTCGTATGATGCTATGAGGACTGATGCAGACTGTTTGTAAAATGCTCAGCCCACAGCGCCTGGCCGGAGGCCCGCAGTAACTATCAGTAACTGTCAGTAACTGTCACCATCTATTGTGCGGTTGTTGACAGTACGGGAAGGGCCAATGAGGGTCAGATGATCAAAGCTCTGCTCTAGCGTTTGAATCCCTGGGGGAGAATGCAGGAAATGATTCCAGGGGCTTCTAGCCTGGGAAGGAGCAGACAGAGACGTGCCAAGCATTTAGGGACTGCTTAGTGTGTCCACAGCCCCAGGCCTCAGACACGACTATGTGGTGAGGGCAGGAGGTGTGAAAAACCCCAGTGTGACCCTGGAGGGTTGAGGGAGGCTCTGAGAACAGCAGGCTTCTGTGCCCTTTTCCCCACAGCCCTCAGAGTGCAGGGGCCTCAGGGGCAGAAGGCAGGATGCAGGCAGCCTCAGGCCCTTGTGGGGGCCCAGAGCTGGCGAGGAGGGTATCCAGGTGGGGTCTCTGAGGGCAGGACAGGTGCGGTATTGGGTCATGGACCTGTGACTTGGTGGCCTGGCAGGACTACCGGCATTAGTTGTGGTGGCAACTAGGGTTCAGCCCCAGGTGGCAACCCTATGTCAGCAGCCCCCAGGGCCTGCCCGCCTCCTCAGCATGCGGGCCGGATGCAGGCACTGCAGGAGGAGTCTGGGAGGAGGAAGCCCTGTTGGGCCTTTAGCCTGAGTTTAATCCTAAACTTGGCTGAATATTTGCCTAATAACAGCAGCTCCGAACCTGAAGGGAAGGATGAAGAGTTTTAGTCTCAGCGAGAAGTGGTCAAGAGCAAGTCAAGGGCAGCTGTAGAAAAGAAAAGGGAAAGGATGAGTTTCTGGAGAACCTGACAACCTGCCTGTCTGCATCAGAGCCAGGGCCCATGGAGGGGCGAGGATGGGGCCTTCACCACAGACAGAACCCGAGGGTTTCTCCCACAGGAACTGTGAGGATGGGAATGTGAGCCTCCAGTCTTCTCTCATGTGAAAGCCAGCGTGATGGTTTCTCGTTAGGTGCCCGTGATGAAGGGGGCCTTGGTTAGTCAGGTGTGCTCTCTGGGTCCATGATGGTGGGTGTGGTGGTGGACACACTCGCTTTGCTCCTGGGTGGATGTTGTGTGGGGGTCCACATGGAAAAGAAGGAGAACAGAGAATAAAGGGACAGCTCACCCTGAGGCACAGCTGGTCCAGGAGCCAAGGTCTTCCAAGGTAGGCAGGAGCAATGACTTGCTGTGACCTTCTTTAGTGACCTGACAAGTTGGGAGACCCCTGGCAGGTGGCTGCTGTCCACCTGCAGCTCCAGGAATGTGGCTGCCTCTTCAGACAGGAGTTTGCTGGCAGCAGCTAGGGACAGAACTCAGGGATTCGGGTTAGAGCAAGAAGGTTTAGGTCAGCAGGTGGCAGGTAAGACTTGAAGTGACCCCTCAGGCAGGGACTGTCCACACAACGGGAGGCCTGGGGCACTGCTGGGGGACTGAGCCGATGCAGATATTGTAGCCTGTGACAGATGACTTAACCCGAGGGCCTGCTCAAAACCCTCTGTGGTCTAGTCTTCCTTCCTTGGCTCCTTTCCTTTGAAGCATTTCATGGGCTTTCATGCCCAGTGGTCTCCTGTCCCCCGGCCTCATTCCCTCCCTACACAGAGGCCCTCCTGCACTCCTCTTGGCCTTCGTGACCTGCTGTCCCCAGACCTGGCCCCAGTGCACCATTCTGGGAGGCCATATTTTCCCTCGGTCAGTCCTGAGCCCTGGCAGGGATGCCCTGAACCATCAGCCCTCACTCTGCTGTCTGCGACCCTGGCCAGTCGTGCTCTTCTTTGTTGCCCAGCACCACCCAGCAGTGTAGAAATGACCCCTCCACCACAGTGTTATAGACAAGACACGACGCTGGAGGGCAGCTCTTCCAGGGTGAGCGGCCAGCCCTGCCATGCCACAGGGCCCCCTGCTCACACAGCTTTGCTTCCCAGGAGCTCCCAGCAACCTGGGTGCAGAAGACCCTGATTCCCATTTTTGTTTCTTCCCTTCTCCTCTCCACCCCCGTATCCACTCAACACCTAGCACAAGGCTATTTGTAGAGACATAATATCTGTCGAGAGAAAAGCACGAGCATCTTCTAATTGTTTTCAGTTCAGATTTCCATCCACTGCATCTTCTTCAGGCAGGAGGCCTCCAGGAGCGGAGAGTCTGGACTTGGGTCTGGGGTTTGCTCAGATGATGCTGAAAACCACCTCTTTCATGGCCTGTAGATCTTAAGTAGGTCTCGCTTCTAAAAAATTTATTTTGACACACATTTACTGTCTTTGAGCCAGCAACCCTGGGTGTGACCTTGGGCAAGTTATTTCCTTCTCTATGCCTCAGTTTTCCCATGTTAAAAATGAGGATAACAGGCCCTCCTTGGTCGAGGTTGTGAGGGTTAAATTATATGAGACGATGAGCATGAAATGCCTCACACGTGAATCTGGGAAGTGGCGGTTGACATCTCTATGATGTGTCTAGCCTGGGGATTTGGAGGAAAAAAGCCTACACGGTCTGTTTTGCTTGCCATCGTTCGAAGTGGATGCCGAGCCCAGCATGATGTGGCAGGCCCTGGGCAGCAGCCAGGCCTGGGAGGACTCAGCGAGGTCTGGGCGTAGGGGTGGGGGTTCCCTGAGCAGTTCATTTTAGCAACTTAAAAGGCAACCAAGAGCCTTCCACATGGGTGGCGGAGGACCTGCTGGGTAGGGGACACCTGCACACGGGGGAAGGTGTGGGCGTATGTGGCGCTTCTAGGAACCTCAGGACGGGCAGGGCTGGGTCCAAGTGAGGGTGCAGGGGAGGAAAGGAGTGAAGAAAGAGGCCAGAATTAGACCTGGAGAAGGGACTAACCCAACCACACGGCTGGTGGAGGCCAGCACTCAGGTGGCACTTCCGTCCCCAGAACCACGGGCTGCAGATGACTGAGTTCATAGAGACAGAGCCTTTGACACGGTGCCTGGCACGTAGTAGACTTCACGATGTTAGCGATTCTCATTTATTGCCATTTTACAAATGAGTAAACTGAGGTCAGACCATGAAGGCAGAGAGGGCAGGGACCGAGTCCTTGACCACTACCGCCCTATTCTCACTATAGCGTTGAGTATCAGTAAGCACCTGCTGACTGACAGACGGTTCAACAGATGGCCTGATGGACAGTGGATTGATGGACAGATGGAATGGTGGACAGACATCCATGATGGACAGATGGGACTGACTCAGTGCTTGCCCTGTGTACCATTTTTCTTTCTTACTCTTAGAAGTTGAGATTAATCCACAAAACTTGGCCCCCTTGATCTTTTCTTTCTTTATTATTATTTTTTCACCCTGAACACTTTTTTTAACATCTGACTTTATCCTTACTTTTGGAAGAGAAGGAATACTGATATTGCCTATAGGCTGCTTGTATTCAGAACGACAGTGACATTTATTAAGTCCAAAACCTGCCCAGGCCCATCTTGGTGGCTCATTTGTTGTATAGTTTAGAAGACAGGGACTTAAGAAGAGGGCAAGGTTGGGAAATCATTGTACAACTTATCAAGATAGGAGTATATCTGGCACCTCATTTTTGCCTCTTCTCTCAACCTACGGCCCCGTGAAATCCTGTTTCTCTCGACCGCTAACTTTAATGTTTGTTGCTGTTGCCTAACGTGAGCACCAGCTGTGGAGGGCAGCTTCTTTGCTGAGTAAAGCATATTTGGAATCACATTTATTATATTATTTTTACCAATTTCAAAAATAGTGCATATCCATTGTAGAAATGTTTGAAAATACAGAAAAGGAAGAAGTACATATATCCCCCAAATTTTACTTCCCAGAGATGTTTGTTATCATGAACACTATATCCTTTCTCTGTATTGTGTGTGCAAGTGTTTAAAATCTTACAACCTCTCCTTTTCACCTAAGAGTTGACATGCATACTCCTTCATATCACTCCTTTGCAACAAAGTTTTGATGGCTGGTACCCGTTATCGTGTAGACATACCATAGTTTATTCAACCAATCCTTTAGTTTATGTCAAGTTTTTTCATTATTATAAATGACACTATAGAAAACATTCTGGTACCTAACTTTTTCCTTTTTTGCAGACCTGTGATTGTTTCCTTGGGATCAAGTATTCAAATGATAATTGTGTTGTCAATAAAGGTTATACCAATTCCCACCCCCACCAGCAGCTGAACACAGAACCTTAATAGTTGCTGGACCAGTGGCTTTCAAATTCTTTAGACCAGTGATCCAAAGTAAAAGGTACACTTTTCTTTACTACCCTGTATTTGCAAAAATATATATATGAAATCAAAAAAATAAATTTCACGAAACGGTACTTGCCTCATTATTGTGATGTGCTCTAGTATTTTCTTTCTAGTTTATGTCATTTTAAGAAAAGCTAGTCATGATGCATTAAATCGATTTCACGACCTGCTAGCGTGTCACAGCCTGTCATTTTCAAAACAACCCAGACTCACTGATCAAACAGAGACGGTCTCGCTCCATACAGTTGAGAGCTGCACGTCAGCAGAGTGTGTTGACGGCAATAGCAAGAGGCTGGGGTTTCAGGGGAATATATTTTCTGGCTCAGACTGTGGGGTAGCTTCCGCTGAGACCAGAATCTCGGATAATTCAGTTTTCACTGGAATGCTATTAATTTGGCCCTTTGGGACTTAAGATTATGTATTTGAAAATGGAAAAGAGATAAAGGCCTTTAAATGTCTCCTGAGCATTGATACTTAGAAAAAGTGATCCGTTCTCCCTTTCTGCTTGGCTTCTTTTGCACAGCGG